AATGATGCCACTAAGAATTACGTACTTAAGGCTGGCGGCTTCCTGGTGCTTGGACAAGAGCAAGACTCTAATGGCGGAGGCTTTGATCGTAACCAAACTCTTCATGGCCGATTGGCAAGTGTCAACATGTGGGATAAAGTTCTGTCCGAAAGCGACATTGCCGCTCAGTACACAAATTGCAGCATACCTCATGGTTCTGTTATTAACTGGTCTGTATTCAAAAATCTTACTCATGGCAATGTTAGATTTGAAGAGCCGTGAACTACATTGGTCAGTGATCAAAACTCTTGTAGAGCCTAAAATCATAAATCGCGTGATGTGAATTCCTAATATTAGTGAATATACCATATGCATGGCATAGTACTAAAATAGACACCAAAGCTGTTAGTTAGCCAGTTATTTGGAAAATATTTCATTCATTTATTTATTCACCTATTTACTTAGTTTTTTGATAAAATATATTAAAATAAGAGGTAAATTTTAGGTGACCGGTGTTTGCCATAAAGTTAACACAGCTCATGGCAATGTTGCAGTTGAAGAGCCGTGAACTGCATTGGTCAGTGATCAAAACTCTTGCAGAGCCTAAAATCATAACTCGCGTGATGTAAATTCCTAATATTAGTGAATGTACCATATGCATGGCTTAGTACTAAAATAGATACCAAAATATGAGAAGATATTTCGTTGAAACGCTGCTTTTGGCCAGTTATTTGGAAAACATGTCATTTATTTATTCACCTATTTACTCAGTTGTTTGATGAAACATATTTAAATAAGACATAAATTTTTAGGTGACCGGTGTTTGCCATAAAGTTAAGACAGTTACTTGTTTTATTGTAAGCAGCCTTAACAACATAAAACTTTTCTTCTCTGTTCTAATTCACTCATGACACTTGAGAAGAAGCTTCGAGGGCATTTCAAGATCTTTCAAGATCCCAAAGAAATTTCAAACATTGAGAGGCTGACAAGACGAGCGCTAATGCTTTGAATGTGCGCCTATGAAAGTCTTCTAGAATGGTAATCGCATATGCCCTGTCGCATATGATAAGTTGCGATTATGAAAAAAGCCCGCATGTCCTTAATAAGCCACTGTGTTCTACCGCTTTTTGCAACCTCTTAAAATATTTAGGGTGTTTCTGTACAGTTTTCTTGGAGTCCATATTACTTGACATCGAAAAACATCGCATGTCCCATAAGGGCCACAGTAGAAGAAAGATATAGGTAGGTTCTTTACAAATCTGATGTATGCTTGCAGTAGTCTAGAAAATTCCAGAATAAAAGTTAGAGATTCTGGAAGTTCTGCTGTTGACATCGTAATTTTAGAACTAGGGTATGTGCTACAGACGGATGGGGGTGGGGGAGGGCTATGACAAGGTTTGATGTATTAAACTGTTAGAGCGGAAGTTTAGCTGTTGGCTGGCCTACATTTTTAATGTTGGCTGTTATGCAGACCCCCTCCCCCCTCCCCCCCTCCGGCTCCCCTCCTCCGTGGTGGACCTTGCATTACATCTCTCCTGTATTATGTTTCTTGAAAACTACATTATCCAAGCCCGAGATGAAGAATCTTTTCATGTATGTTTTCGATGCAAATCCTCAGACTCAAGATAGAGCACTTTTCGATTCAGTATCGTAAAAGCGTGAAAAACAAACCTGTAAAAAGGAAAGACCAAAAATTGCCAAAAGAATTCAGAGTAAAATTAGGCTTAGGGCTTCCCAAATAACAAAACCCACCAAGAGCTGTCTTCAACCAGTAAGGCTGAATAAATACAATAAAAAAGAAACTTAAATAAACATACGCTCCATTATTTTCTGAAACTTTCCGTGGCAGCAGAATTAAAACGAGCTGAACTGGAGCTCTTCCCTAACATTATTTATCTCCTGAATTCACACATCAAAAACTAGAGAGCTCTAAAATAATTAACAGCGACTAGGACCGAAAAAAAATAATAAATCCAGGGGCACTAGAAAATATCTACGAAGGAAGACAAACAGGAGCAAATCAGGAGGCCAAATCCCCGAAAAAGGAGAACAAAATAATAATTGATGGCTAGATATGCCTTTAACATAAGCAGATATCTGCAAAGCCCACATAAAAGTTTAGAGTTGCTTGTCTGTGGCTCTACAAAATCGTGTATCACCATGAAAGTCATTTCTCTTTGAACTACAAGCATAAAAGATGGCTTTTTTCCTATTTATCTGTCACTTTTCTTTCTCCGGTTGTATCGGCGAGTTGTGTGAAGACTTCAAAAGGTATCATCTTTCTTCCATTGCAGTGATACTCGCGTTTCCTTTTGCTTTATTTTCCTGATATCTACCAAGTATTATTTTAAAAGTGTAAGCCAAAAACCATTTTAATTGATCATATTCATTTCTTTATCAAATACAGGACAAACACTTAACGTTCGATTTGTCTTCACCTATTTTCTTGCTCACAAAGGCTACTATTTGAACATTACACCCATTAATCAAGTTAATCACCAATCATCATTGGTATCACTGCAGTATTGTAGTAAATTCTTTTTCCTAATATGCGTTTTTGGCCAGGATGACTGAACATTCGCTTAGTTCTTTTTTTCCCTTTTTATGGACCTTAACTTCCTCTCGGTCAATAAGAAAAGGGAGAGAAAGAACGAAGCCAATATCCGGCCATCTTGATCGAACAAGCTTTGTCAATAAAGGATTTATTATTTAGCAAACGATTTCGCTTCATTTTGAAATAATTAAGAATTAAGAATGATTTTGTTTTACTTCGAAGGTCGTGTTTGTAGCACAATAAACTCGTGAGAGTCGTTTATGTTTTCTTTGTTTTGTCTTTCCCCTGCCAATCTTTGCGAATCCACCGCCGGGTAGCCGATTCGCACTCAGGATTCGATTCATATTCTCCACAGAAGCTGCTAGCGACATAATGCATGATTTCACGTATTGTATTTTGCTGTAGTCTTATCTTCTTCGATATGCGCTAAGTACGAATTAAGTAAGATAAGTTTGTTATTTTCCTACTGTGGCGAAATAGAAATTATCTCAGAAGTGAAAATTCAATTTGACGGCACGATTTGAAAATTTTTACAGTGGCTAAGAACACGTTGAAAATTAATCAGATGAAACGCTATTACAACAAGTTTAATAGACTTGATTTAGAGCTCTGTATATGAATATGAAAAAGGAGGGTCTTGAATGATCCAATATATTTAGAATTGTTTGCTTTTTGTTTTGTTTTGGTTCAGGTTTATCTCGACAAATCTCTACGATGATACTTAGCAACACCTGTGTCTCACCAAGGAAAACACTCAAGGAGTAACGAAACTCTATAAAGATGGCCAATTTACCGGACAGGTAACGAATAATACATGCCACTAAGGATTATGCACTTAAGGCTAGCGGCTTCCTGGTGCTTGGACAAGAGAAAGACTCTATTGGCGGAGGTTTTGATCGTACGCAAACTCTTTATAGCCCATTGGCAAGTGTCAGCATGTGGAATAAAGTTCTGTCCGAAAGCAACATTGCCGCTCAGTACACAAATGCAGCGTACCTCATGGTTCTGTTTTTAAAAATCAATCAAAAAATCAAAAATCATAAATCTTACTCATGGCAATGTCACAGTTAAATGGCCGTGGACTGCATTGGTCAGTGATCAAAACTCTTGGAGAGCCTAAAATCATAACTCGCGTGATGTAAATACCTAATATTAGTGAATGTACCATATGCATGGCATAGTACTAAAATACATAACAAAATATGAAATGATATTTCGCTCAAACGCTGCTTTTGACTAGTTCTTTGAAAACATTTCATTTATTTATTCACCTTTTTATTCAGTAAAATGCTTGCAGTAGTCTAGCAAATTCCAGAGTAAAATTACAAGAATCTGGAAATTCTGCTATTGACATCGTAATCTTAGAACTGGGGAATATGCTATAAATAGGGGCGAGGGGGGGGAGGGCTATGACATGGTTTGATGTATTGTATTAAAGGAAAGTTTAAAAATTGCTAAAAGAAATAAAAAAAAAACTCACCCAGCGCTGTCTGCAAGCAATAAAGCTAGATAAGCACAAAAAAATTAAATAAACAGACGCTCCATTATTTCCTGAAACTTTCCGTAACAGCAGAATTGGAACGAGCTGATTTCAATAGCTGAAACTCTTCTGTACCATTATTTATCTCCTGAATTTACAAACAAAAAGTAGAGCGCTCTAAAACCATAGCAACTGGGAAAAAGAAAGATAGAGAAACCCAGGGGCACCAGAAAACATTTACAGAGGAAGACAAACAAGAGCAAAACAGGAAACCAAACTCCCGAAAAAGAAAACAAAATAATAATTGATGACAAGCTATCGTGTCATTAACTGTTCAAGCAGATGTTTACAAAGCCCATGGAAAAGCTTAATGTTGCGTGTCTGTGACATTGCGAAATCGTTTATCACTATGAAAATCACTTATCTTCGAGCTTCAAGAATAAGATGGCTATTTCCTATTTATCTGCCAATTTTCTTCTTTGTTTGTTTGTATCGGCGAGTTGTTTGCAGACTTCAAAGGTTATCACATTTCTTCCCTTGCAGGAAAGACCTGTCATGTTGGAGCACTTTTCGATTGAGCAAAGTGCCAAAGAATTCAGAGTAAAAACAGGTTAAGAGCTTCCCAAATAACAAAAACCCACCAATTGCTGTCTTCAAACAATAAAGCTAGATAACTACAATAAAAAAAAATGTAATAAACAGACTGAAACTTTCCGTGACAGCAGAATTAAAACGAGCTCAACTAGAGCTCTACTGGTCCATTATTTTTCTCCTGAATTTACACATCAAAAGCTAGAGCGCTAATTGAATTAACAGGAACTAGAAAGAAAAAAAAAACCCAGGGGCGCTAGAAAACATTTGCAGAGGAAGACAAACAGGAGCAAATCAGGAGGCCAAACGCCTGAAAAAGAAAACAAATTAATAACTGATGACAAGATATCGTGTCATTAACCGAAGCAGTTGTTTGCAAAGCCCATTTAAAACGCTTAGTGTTGCGTATCTGTAGTATTACGAAATCGTGTATCACCATGAAAAGCTTTTTTCTTTGAGCTACAAGAATAAGATGGCTTCTTTCTATTTATCTGTCAACTTTCTTGCTCTGGTTGTATCGGCGAGTTCTGTGAAGACTTCAAAAGGTGTTGTCTTTCTTCCTTTTCGTTTTATTTATCACTGATATCTACATCGTCTTTTTGAGAAAGTCGAAACCATTTTAAATGGTAATTTTCATTTCTTTATAAAAACACAGGACAAATGCCAAACGTTGGGTTTGTCTTCACCAATTTCCTTGCTCACAAAGGCTACTATTTGAACGTTACAACTGTTGGTACAGAACTGGTCCAAGACTCCTTTGAGTGCGTGTTCAAGTGTCTGGAGAAGGATTCATGTTTGTCCTTCAACCTGGCAGATTTGGATGATAACATTGACAATCTGCTATGTGAACTGCTTCCATCTGACCATTACACCCATTCAGACAAGTTCATCACCAACCATCTTTGGTATCATCACAGTATTGCGGTAAAATTATTTTCCTTTTTCTACCTTATCTTTATCATCACGTTTTTTGTTATTGCTATTTTTCCATCCTAATAATAACTAAAATCGGTTGTAATCGTTTGAGCAAACTTTATTCAAGTGTTCAACGTTAATATGTCTCTCGTCGGAAGCCATTTTTAAGTCGTTTTATTGATCCGTCATCGAAGTTTTTTTAACTGTTTTTATCAAGGGCGTAAATAATTGATTTTCTCGGTTTTAGTCTCCCTGTTCGAGGTTGCCCTGTCAGAACAATGGAACTTGCGTACCTCTGTACCGGACAAACAGCTACAAGTGTCGCTGTACGAAAGCATACACAGGAAGCCACTGCGAAAACGGTAAAGGCTTTGGTTTCTAGAAAAAATATTTTCAAAAATATTTCTTGCCTTTCGTATCTGATTCCTACTGAGCCATCATTCATCGTCATTTTACTTCACACTGACCTGTTTTGACAAACATAAATTTTTTCCTATTATTATTAATTTTCTCCGCTGTTCTTCTATATCAGTTGATAATGACTGCAGCTGTTCATCAGGACCAGAAGGAAAACAGAGATGCAAAATAGGTCAGTTAATATTCCACCTTCAAGTTAAGGTAGCTTGAAACAGCTTTCCGAGACACCTATACCGAATATCTATAAAAAAAAAAAAACCCTAAAAAAGCGACTTTCCCTTTGCGAAGCCAAAGGAAATTCACTCGTGTTCACAAAATGATTAAAGTCTGAAGGAATGGCGTTTCAAGGAAACCACAATCCCGTTACATGGTTTTTTAGATCGATCTCGTAATACGAAGCCAATATCCAGCCATCTTGACCGAACAAGCTTTTTTAATAAAGGATTTATCTTGTAGAGAACGATTTCTCTTTATTTTGAAAGAATCAAGAATGAATTTTTGACCTCCAGAGCCGAAGAAGGAAGTCAGCTGTGTTTGTAGCACAATAAAGCCACGTCAGTCGTTTATGCTTTATTTGTTTTGTTTGTGGTGGTCCTCGGCCGATTTTTGCGACTCCACCGCCGGCATTGTCTAAAAATTGCTAACTCTGTTAGTCCGCTCGGGTAGCTAATGCGAACGATGGATTCGCTTCATATCGTCCACTGCCGCTGCCAGCGATATAACGCATGATTTCATGTGTTGTATTTTACTGTAGTTTTATCTACTTCGTTACGCGCTTAAAGCAAATTAAGTAAGAGAAGTTTGTTGTTATCCTACTATGGCGAAATAGAAATTATCTCAGAAGTGAAAATAAATTCTATTTGACGGCATGTTTTGAAAATTTTTTAAAATGACTGAGAACACGATGAAAATTCGTCAGATGAAACGCTATTACGACAAATTCAATAAACTTGATTTAGAGCTCAGACAATTTGCGTCACGCCAAATCCCCGATTGCAGAACGTCTACAAGAAATAAAATAAAACAAAATAAAAGTAAGCAAAAAACAAAAGCTAGAATAACATAAAAAAGGAGATACATAATACAAACAGAAAATCAGATGCCACAAAAACCATCAAAACGGCCCAAGAGATACTGCCAAATCAGGCAAAACACAATAAAATAGCAAACGCGGAGTAAAAACAATTTGGCCCGGAACACGTACGGTCAAAACGACGATGCCAAATCAGGCAAAAGGTGCGAAACAAACGGAGGTCAGACTACTAAACAAAATGACACTGCCAAATCAGGCAAAACACAACGAGGGTAGACTAAAAGATCAGCAATGACAAGGTGAGGATTAGAGCTGAAAGAAAAGAGACGTGCATGGTAAACGAGGATGAAAAAAGCTCACCTAAAATCTACCCGCAACGCCAACATTCTGAATCTCGGGCAACCACTGAAAACCGAGGGACGCGCCTTGTAAATTTGCCTCTGGCCGGGACCTTCCAACAAGAGGTCTTCTATGCAAGGAAGCTCAAACCCTCCCTTAACAAAAGACTTGAACTGAGAAGAGCTGTCATGCAAAAAGGGCCAAAAATAGGCCGAAGGCCACTATGGGACGATCAAAGTGCCGAAGCCAGAGCACGACGAGAGAGCTCTAACAGAAGGGACGATGGCACTTACAGAAGGGCAGACCCAATTGCTCTCGTCTCGCCGATCCTGGGCCGAGGCGTCAACGCCGCAGCAGCCGGGGGAGGCGAATTTAGAATTGTAATGCGACGCAAACCGATCGATTGTGTGAGGGCCCCATTGGCGTCAATCACTCGAAATACAGAAGGGTTGACGGACCAGTCATCTTTGTCAACAAATCTGCTGAGAAGATCTGCCCTTTCATTAAGCGACCTTGGGATCCATTGCGCTTCCAGAACGATGCTGTTAACAAAACAGAGATTAAAAATGTCCATAGCCAGAGCCTGGAGATTAATTTTGGAGCTCCCGATAGCAACAATTCTGGCGGCGCCCTAATTATCAGTAAAGATTTTAACTCTCTTGTGTTTCAATCGAGCAACGTAGGAAAGCAACACGAAATAAATAGCTTTCAGTTCGCGGAACTTTGGCCGATATCTTCGGGTTCCCACATGCCGCTGATAACGGTGCCGTCTAGAGAAGCTGAAAAACCTCCGAAAGCTACATCACTTGTGTCGGAAAACATTACGGTGTGGGTCGCTGATGGTGGCCTTATAGAATAACCGTTGAGGCAATCGATGTTGCAGTACCAAACGTACCGCAGATATTTTGATACTCTGTTCAACCACCTTCTCATCAATGAAGCTGGTGGACGGACACTCGAAAACATTTACGGCTGTGGCAGGTTGAAGGCAAAACTCAGAAAAAAAAGTCACTCATGCAAACGTGTCATCTTTTAGAAAAAGTTCGGATATAACGCGCGATGTCATTGGTAGAAAGAGCGTGCTCTATCAGAGTACAAAACATGGAGCTGAGCTAAAGCTGCCACGCCAATTTCTTCTATGCTCGACCATTTTCCGGACTTCCCTTAGCCTTTTTTTTTCGTGAATTGAAAATGAATTTTCGGAACAAGCGTGCCGATAAGTAGCAATAGAATAGTCAAAAAAGGTCTGTATAAATATGCCAAGCGCTGTGATTGACGTTATTATAACGCGAAAATCCTCAAAGAGGAAACGAAGTGAACTGTCCGACTTTTGAAGGTTTTCACGTAAGCTTAGGTACGGTAATAAATATCAAACACATCTAACACACGTATATAGTTTCGTGTTCACAAAGTTTCAATAGCTTCGTCTTCGAAGAAGTGGGGAGAAACACTCCTCTACGTCTCGTGTATCTCCTTACACTTCTTTCCTGCTCTAGCCACTTCCTCCGTGCTTCACAACAGAATGGAGCACAGTCAAGGCCTTTCTATTTGTTAATTAGTATAGCTATCGGGTAATTACAGAGATGTGTAACTTACTCCCAAACACTCTTTATAGCGAATGAGGTAAAAAAGTGGTGGTTTAGTGACGAAGGCAAAAAATAGACACAAACGCGCGCGCTCGCACACACGCACACACTTGGCTGCACCCAAACACAAAAGAGGTGAATGGGCTAAGAGACGCGTCCTACATTCTATTCACTAGTGAATGATAACTTCGTGTTTTGACTTCTTTACCCTATGCAATAACCATGACGCGTAAACGACGATCTTCATATTCTACATTGTTAATTACATTATGGCCTCAGATAGTTGATGAGAGCGCACCCGAACCAGCTACCTTGCAAAGAAACTGGGGGCAAATTACAAGTTACCTGGGTAGGACTGCGGGTCGTTCAAAGCTTGGCAACAAGACGGGATTGAGTCTTATTCTATGTTGCCTACAATTGAATACTGTGTGGCATTCTTGAAGAACGCTAGAACATTTATACAAATAGTGTATACTTCTAAATAGGAAAATTTTATTAAAGAAAGCGCAGTTGCTCAAAAAACTGTCTAAAAATTTTTGCAATTCATTTCCTCTGTTGTAGAGTACCTTATGGTGTTTCCGGAGCTGCGTTCTACAGAAAATTACGCCATGAAGAATCCAGCCATAACTTCAGATCTCAGCCAGTTGTCGTTGTGTTTTTTTATCAAACTTGTTCAAGACCAAGGGCTTCAGAATGTCGTCAGCTATGCCAGTGAACATGACAACGACATGATTTTCGAAATTTATCCAACATTAACACGATTTTATGTTGGCGGCAAAGACTTCAGGTAATGCTGCGTATATTTTTTAGAAGTCAGTTGAAGAATTTCTTATTCGAGCCACAATAAGTTATTATACAGGAAATGCTACGATCGACTTCTTCCTAACGCTTGGAGAGAGAAAGTTAAACATACAAACAAACGGAAAGCGTTAAGCTTCTTTCTCTTTTCTTATCATGATTTAAATACCAAATATGTTAATCTTTGACCGAAACAAATCTAGACGTATTTTCCTGTTGCATTGCAAATAACTATTCGGGTCCTTTTTTAAATAGGGCTCAAGAGTCGTCTTTAAAGTGACGAGGACTTGCTTATTACGGTTTTAGCCATAAAAGGATGAGGTTTCTTAACCGACTCGGCTTTCAAAATAGTAGCTCAGATGATACTTAAACATTTTATAAGTAGAGAAAGATGTTTTTCGTCTTGTCACGAGCGTGGGACAAAGAAAAAAATTCTGAGTTCCCATGAGGAATCGAACCTCAGACCTTCGGATTTCGCGTGCTGAGCCACAGAGATTCTACAGTGAGTGAGGTCTCTATTTTATAAGCTTGAATGTATGAATGATTTAGTCATTGATAAACGATTGATTGACTGAATGACAAGCCACTTACATATTCCTATAAACTGACTGACTACGGACTAACAGACTGAATAACTCTCTTCACCGACTTAGTGACAATGAAAAAGGAGGGTCTTAAATGATCAAATATATTTAATATTGTATGCTTTTTGTTTTGTTTTTTGTTTTGTTTTGTTTCGTTTATTGTTTTGTTTTTCTTTTCAGTTTTACCTCGACAAATCTCTACGATGATACCTGGCAACACCTGTGTCTCACCTGGGAAAACACTCAAGGAGT